TGGGATCRGGGAAGGAGCTGGGCAGGGGCTGCAGAGAAGCTGAGCAGGAGCTGGTTAGAGAGCACAGGGACACTGGGCTGTGGGTGTGCAGGGAAAGCCAGCTGGATGGGCACAGACACCGTGCAGGCAGGCAAGGGGCCGCAGGAACGGCGGTGGCAAGGAGAGGACGATCTCCAAGCAGTCCAGCGAGCTGAGGGCAAGCTGAAATGTCACCCTGTGAAATTTCCTCTGTTGCCAGAAGCCACTTCCTCCACTTTCCAGCACAGACGAAGAAAGGCAATTGCAGCTCGCGCTTGCGCTGAGCAAAGAGGAGCATGAGAAGGTACCTGTGTCCCGCAGCGCTCCGCTCTCCTTGCACTTGGCCTTCTCTCTGCGGCACTGGAGCCCCAAACGTCACCTGGCTCCRGTGCCCGCTTTGCTTCTGCTGCTCCGGGCTGTCTGCTGAGTGCTCTCCCGGGGGGCTCGGCCCTGGAGGAGCCGTCTGCTCRGATGCTGGGACTTTTCGGGGATGCGGTGGCAGCTCCTGTGCTGGGTGTGTYTCCTGGAGAAGGTGCTGGCTGTGGGGTTGCTGAGCTTACGACCCCACTCCTTGTCCCCCACAGGAGGTGAGGACTTGGCAAGGGGAGAACTCCCTGCAGCAGAGACCCGTGGAGGAGATTGCGCCGGGCAGGGAGGAAGAGCAGGAAGAAGATAAGATGAAGAAAAGCCAGGTACAGCACTGGAGGCTGGGTGGCCACACGGGGGTGATCCCACAGCTCTGCCCCAGGCTTCTCTCACCCCTTTATTCCCTTTCTGTTTGCAGTCCTCTATTCTGGAGCTGGCAGATATATTCGGGCCGGCGCCAGCCCCCTCTGGCCACACGTCTGCTGACCCGTGGGATATGCCAGGTGAGGACAACTTGCAGGCTGCCAAAATTTGGGACAGTGGCAGAAAGCTGTCCCTTGCCTCTGTTCCTCCCCAGTCCCCAGGAGATCGACAGTGAGGACTTCTGGCTTCTCCTCCCCCTGCTGCCCACTCTGCTGCACTCCTGGGTGGCACTGCTGGCAGCCAGGATCCCCTGGGCACATTCCCACCATGCAGCATCCCTCTGTGCCCTGCATCGTTCCTCTCTCCCACAGCTCCCCTTCTTTTCCAGAAATGAARCCCAAAGTGGAGCCGGTGGCCTCTGCCTGGAGCGGTGCAGCGGATCCCTGGGTGCCAGTCCCGGAGCCCGGMGGGGAGCCCCTCTCCCAGGCGAGCGCCTCATCCCAGCAAACCTCTGCTGGGCCCTGGGATTTTCCCCCCAGCACCACTGCAGCCTCCGACCCCTGGGGGAAGGCGCCCGTGTCTTCTGGCTTCCCTCCTGCAGACCCCTGGGGTACAGCATCCCCCCCAGCCCCCCAGGGCTCCGCTTCTACACCAGCTCCCGACCCTTGGGCTGCTGTGCCCGAGCAGCCTCCGACCCCTGGTAAGAGGCTCGATGGACCTTTTGGCTTTGCTGAGGATTGAGGACAGCCTTGACCATCACTACCCTCCTGCAAGTGGGCATCTCCGGGTTCTCCTCCCTTCCTCCTTCAACCAGCTCCCCGAACACCCCGTCCCCACTTTCCACCCCACACCCTACACCTTGTTCACCCCTCAGCATCCTGTAGACTTCAAGGAACTTTTAGGCTTTGTCTCTGTACAGAATAGGCTGCTTTAATTAATGTGACAGTTAATGGAGCCATCCTGTGGGAGTGCATGGCAGCCCTGCACCCCTCCAGCAGTGGGGTGAYGCTGTGTCCCATTAGTGATACCTGTTTGCTCACCCCAAATGACCCCTGTATGCCCTGCCAGGAGCAGACAGGACCGTTACTGGTCGCAGGTGCCACACTGCAGATGGGGAAGCAGTTGTAGGAGCAGCCTGTKTTTCAAAGCTCAGTGCCACTCCCAGTTCCTCTTTGGTGTTTCCTCCAGCTCCGTGTAGGTCCTGTGTGTGCTGCTCCCAGTTTTGGTCCCCTGGTGAGGGGCACAGAACCTGTTCTAGGGGCCAGTGCTGGCTGCTAAAGCATTCCTGCAGACCTGTCCCCTCCACCTGTCCCTGCTAGGGCTGGGAAAGGGACCTGCTTGTTTTGGGGAAATGGCTGCGAGCAGTGGGGGTGTCTTGGTCTGCACTGATCCCATGGCTCGGCTCATCTAAGCCTTCCCCAGTGCACATTCCTGACCCCCAACCCCACGCCYCGCACTGCACCCCCTCTTTTCTGTCTCCTTGCAGGCAGCCACCCCTGCCTCTCTCCTGCCTTTCCATCTCCTGCCTCCCACCTCCCCGCTTGCTCCCCTCCTTGAGTGTCCCCTCTTCCCCCCAGCTCCAGGGGGGAACGCTTTCGACCCGTTTGCAAAGCCGCCCGATCCGCCGGAGCAGGAGCCCTCGCAGCCGCCCTCCTCGGCCAAGTCCAGCAGCCCCGTGGGTAAGAGCCGGCAGCGGGCAGGTGGGGACGGTGGCCTGTCCCTGCTGTGGCAGGGGGGCAGTTCCAGGGCTGGCAAGGCTGTGTGTCGCTGCTTGCTGGCCTGGCCAAAGCTTGTTTCCACGTGCACGTGCCGTGGCCTTGGTGTGCCCCCATAGCTCAGGGAGCAGCCCCAGTCTCTGCGTGTACCCGTGTCCCCAGCCCTGCTGTCCCCCGTGGTGGTTTGGGGGATCCCTGGGCGGGCCATACAAGGCTCAGCCCCACGGTGTCACTCTGTGTCCTGGGGTGAGATGTGCCGCCCCATGTGGTGACAAGGGACGACGCTGTGACCCTCGGTGTCTCACAGCTGGCTCATGTGTCTCACCTCCCCTCCCTCCCTCCMTGCCAGAGCCCGACCCCTTTGGCGACCTGTTCCCCAGCACCAGGCAGGACGGGGCAAAGAGCTTCGACCTCGCCAACCTGGCTGACTCCCTGCCTGAATCCGGCAAGGAGCGCAAGGACTGTAAAACCCCCGAGGCCTTTCTGGGCCCCGCCGCCTCCTCCCTGGTCAACCTGGACTCCCTGGTCGCACCTACTCCAGCCTCCAAGACCCGCAACCCTTTCCTCTCGGGTAGGTGCCGCAGGGCTGTTGGCCCCTGGGCTGGGCTGGTGGTGGGCGGGGGAGGAAGAAGAGGAGGAGGAGGAGGAGGAGGAGGAGGAGGAGGGCTGAGGGTGTTCTGGCTGCCCTGACGTGTCCCATTTCCTCCTTGCCAGGTCTGAGCACGCCGTCCCCCACCAACCCCTTCAGCCTGTCCGAGCAGCCCAAGCCGACGCTGAACCAGATGCGGACCAGCTCTCCGGTGCCCGGCCTGCCCGCCGGCCACCCCGCCAACTCCATGACCTACAGCGCGTCCCTGCCGCTGCCCCTCAGCAGCGTCCCCGCCGCCACCGCTGCCCTCCCCGCCTCCGCCAGTGCCTTCCCGCAGGCTGGCGCCTTCCCCGAACTCCCCAGCACCTTGCCGCAGCCTTTACTGCCGCTGAGCGGCCCCCCGGCCCCGCCGTCCGCGCCCGGGGGGCTCAACCCCTTCCTCTGAACCCTCTGGACATGTGGACTGTCGCCCTTTCCCCAGCTGTTACGATCCCCCCCGAATCTTTCCTTCCACCAAGACTTGGGGGTTTGCTAAGCTGCACGGGAGGGTGCCCCCCACCCAGCCCCCGCTCCGTGCCCAGTGTGGGGGGCAGCCAGCATGAGCCCYCGCGCTCCACGGGCAACYGGGGACCCYTTCCCGTGCGAGGGCCGGCGTGAGGGGCCACGGTGGGGCTGGTTGGGGGGCAGCCAGCATGAGCCCCGGTGCTTGGTGGGCAGAAGGGGACCCCCTTCCCTTCCCGTGTGAGGGGCCATGGCGGGGCCCTTACCAAGGGCTGCGGTGCGGGGGCTCCGCACGGGGTCCGGCTGCTGGATGGACCCGGCCTGAGGAGGGGGCTTTGGCCGGGCTCCTGCGGGGAGCTGGGGCAGCGCGGGGCCGGGGGTGGGAGCTGGGGGTCTTCCCACCCCGCTCGGTTCGCGCTCCCTCGGCTGCTCCCCCCC